AGCAAGGAATAGGTGGGGAGGGGCGACAACAACAAGAGATGGTGTTTGAGAGGGGTTGCAGCAACAAGAAAGAGGTGGAGAGAGGCGACAACAACAAGGGCTGGTGCCGGAGGGGCGACAACAAGTACATGGGGTGCAGGGAGGGCAACAGCAAGCAAACGAGGAGAAAAGGGAAGATAATATGCGGAGATAGTCACCACCTTGAAGTAATATACAATCGGAGTACCACCTGTCCTCGGATACAGCCATAACAAGTGAAAAGACGTCGATGGTAGAAAACTGAGTAAAAAATGACCTAAAATATAACAAATAACATATACATTATTCTAGGATATAGAGTGGGCTCCGTTCCATATTGGAGGGAACCATGCGCAAGGAAGGACAGCTCTGCCCTTCTCCTAGCTTGATCGAGTCGGTCGGCGTGCGGCACTTGCTACGCCTTCGCAGGCATAGGCACCCCTACGCCACTTGATGCCCTACTTTTGATACAGATATAGAACACCATCAAACTGGATCAATCTCATCATATCACTTATTGTGACTGTGTTAAAGACGCGATGAAGGAATTGACATTTGATTTTTTTGGGAGAAAATATTTCTTAAATTTTTATGTATGCAATGAGTTCTATTGAGTTGAACAACAGGATCGATCACCTAACATTTATCACGTGCATTTTAAACGTGTGTATGAAGAATTGAATGTCTAATTGCCTTTTAGTATTGATGTCTTGATTCAGCGGGCTCAAAGACAACAAATGACTTATGAGTTTTTTAGTTGGCCCCAACTCTCGGTATGAAGGTGTCAAAACAAATATCTTATTTAATACTAGATGTACTATTTTGAGGGAAGTCTATACTAGAATACTACATACGATTTTGAGTATTCATGCCTCTTCCATACAACAACCAAGTGCTATTGCTAGTCAGAAAAATACTGACAACAGTAACCTCAATCTCGTGAATTCTAAAAATCTAAGGTCGAATGTAGTTTTCTCTTACTGTCATTAACCTGCTCATACAAAAAGCACGTGTCAGAAATTGTTGAAAAAGAACCGGAAGGGTTCAAATGATAATCGGCTCACATAGTCACAACTAATGAGACTTCTCGGAATCAAAATCTCTCGGTCTCTGTAGATGAATATATTAAGTTCATCAATTATAAGGAATCATTAAAGAATTCCTCCTCTTTCACTCGACTTCCTTGATTAGGTAACAATGTTATTTGTCTTTTTTTCTCTTCAACACAATGAGTCATTGATTTTGGTGTTACAAATCGCATGATAGGTAATTCAAAACTCTTTTCTATTACTCATAAGCAACTTTCTTCCATCACTTTAGCAAATGAATCTTCCTTCAATGTTTTTGGTTTTGACTCCATCAATGTTACACCCATATTGTCCTTGACTTCTATCCTCAGTTTACCTCAATTCACTTTTAATTGTATTTATGTTAGCAAAAGTGCATATGCTCTTAAATATTGTATCTTATTCTTCTACTATTGTCTGTTTAAGGTTCTTATGAGGAAGAAGTATTGGTAAAGGATGAGAATCAGGAGGTTATACGTTTTAAATGTTGAGGTAACTCGACCCGTAGCCTATTTCAGCACCTTATCTCCTTTTGAGATACATTTTTTATTAGCACACCCGTAACTATCAATGTGTACCCTTAGTTTCAACATTTATCTTCTTTAGATTGTGAGTCGTGTCAATTTGTTATGCATCATTGTTTGTATTCTGTTCCCAAAGTTAATAAAAGAGTCGGTCATAATTTTGATTTGGTTCATTCTGATGTTTGGCGGCCTTGTCATATTCTATCTAATGGATTTTGATATGTTGTCCCTTTTGTGAATGATTTCTCTCATATGACTTGATTTTACTTTATAAAATCTCGTACATAGTTATTGTTACATTTTTAATCTTGTTGTGTTGAAATTAAAACTCAGTTCAATTTTTCAGTTAATATTTTAAGAGGTGACAATATATTAAGGATTTTTTTCTGCATTCTTTCAGATGTACATGACACAAAACAGGATGCTTCAGTAGCATCCTGTGTTGATACTTCATTCCAAAATGGAGTAGCTGAAGGAAAAAATAGACATCTTCTTGAGACGGTTGGAGTTCTTTTGTTTCAAACAAATATGCCTAAACAATTCTGGGTTGATGCAATCTCGACAGCATATTTTTTTTATCAATTGAATGCCTTTTATTGTTCTACAGGACCAAACACCTTATCAAATTTTATTCCCAACTCTCTCTCTCTCTCCTTTTCTTATTGAACCAAGCATATTTGGATGTTCTTATTTTATTTGTGATACTCATCCACAAGTGTCTAAACTGGATCATATGTCATTAAAATGTGTCTTTCTTGGATATTCTTGTTTGCAAATATGATATCGATGTTTTGTCCCTCTTAAATAGGTGCATGATTTTTGTTGATGTTACTTTTTATGAACAAGCTCCATTCTTTGGTGACTGATTAGTGTCTAAAGCTTCACAAAATTCCGATGAGTTGTTAATGCATAACATCGTGAGCTCTGATCTGGCTCCAGCTCCACCTCTAATGCCTCAACCTAAATCACTATTACTAATGTTTACTCAAGAAGGCTTCATTCCCTTAATCCTAGTCCGGCACCAGTATGATCTTCACCCTTCTCCCAGTGATCATGACTTTCTATTGCTTTTCGAAGACGTAAACATGGACCTCATTTGCTCATGTGTTAACTATAGTTAGTCATCTTCCATTTCTTTCTTGTTTTTTATTTCTCTTGACTCTGTTCGGGTTCCAAGATCTGTTCAACAAGCCCTATCCCATTCTGGATGGAGGGTAGCAATACTTGATCAGATGAATGCCTTAATTGAAAACGGAATTTGGGAACTGGTTGACCTACCTTCTGGAAAGAAGGTTTATGGCTATAAGTGGATTTTTGCAGTTAAGTTGCATTCTGACCGATCTGTAGCTCATCTCAAAGCTTGGTTGGTGGCTAAGGGTTATTTTCAATTTTGTGGGAGCGACTGCTTGGAAACATTCTCTTCAGTAGCTAAGTTGACTTCGGTTTGCCTACTCCTATCATTGTTCACAACGAATCATTGGCCTCTGCACCCCTTGGATGTTAAGAATGCTTTTCAGCATTGTGATCTTTTAGAAGAAGTGTATATGGAGCAACCTCTTGAATTTGTTGCTCAGGGGGTGTCTAGTAAAGTATGTTATTGTCTTCGAAAGTTCTTATATGGATCTGGGAAAGTATGTTATCTTCCAAATTCCTTATATGGACCGAAGCAAAACCCTCGAGCATGATTTGAAAAATTTAGTCAAACAATCGAAGAGCTTGTGATGCAGAGAAGTAGAAATGATCACATGGTATTATGTACTCAATCTGCTTCAGGAATCATTCTTTTGGTGGTTCATGTGGATGACATTATCATCATCGAAAGCGATAGGCAGGGAATCATAGCATTGAAATCATTTCTTCAAAATAAGTTCAGCACTATATATCATGTTTCCTTGAAGTATTTTTCTGGGATTAAGGTATCAAGGAGCAAGAAGAGCATATTTCTATCTCAACGGAGATATATGTTGGATTTGTTAGCAAAAATGGTAAATTATTTGTCAAATCATGCAGTGCTTCGTTGCTTCCTAATCTGCAACTTACCGCGGATAGAGAGTCCTTTAATGACCTTGAACAGTATAGGAAGTTTGTGGGAAAATTAAACTACCCACAATAGCTCAGCATGGCATTGCTTATTCAATTAGCACTACAAGTCACTTTATATCTTTCCCCACAATCCACATTGGTCAGCTTTGGAACAAATACTAAGTTACCTTAAGGAAGCTCCTAGAAAAAGGTATTTTATATCAAGATCATGGATATAGAAATATTGAATTATTTTCTTATGGAAATTGAACAAGGTTCAAGATTGATCAAAGATGCATTTCTGTATATTGCATCTTTGTTGGTGATAATTTGATCTCATGAAAGAATAAGAAACAGAATGTAGTGTCATGGCCCAGTGTTGAATCTAAGTATTGAGCGATGACACAATCTTCGCGTGAATTGATGTGGGTTTCTCAACTCTTGACCGAAATAGTTTTTAAGATGATAGTTCTAGCAAAGCTTTAGTGTGATAACCAACCTGCAATTTATATTGTCTCAAATTCTATCTTTCTTGAATGACACATTGAGATAGATTGTGATTTTTTTCGCGAAAAAATTCAACGGAATCTAAGTGCTACAACTTATGTGAAAATTGAGGAACAACTAGTGAATATATTCACAATGACCCATGGAATTGGGTCTCTTGTATTTTTAACAAGCTAGGCATGTTAAATAGTTTTAGGGGGAGTGTTATAGAAAGTAATAAGTATGAATCATGTATATTAGAAATTTTGATATTAGGCAACCTAATTAAAAGAGATCTTATTACAGGATATTTTGAATATTAGATTTATTATTAATCTAGACAGTTCAGAGTGTGTATTAATATGTAATATATGATCTCAATTGTGAATAAAAAAAAGAGAGATTTTTTCTAATACACTGTTATTTACATGAATCAAGCATTAACCTTACGATAAGGAACAACAATTTTTCATTTGAAAATCTCTAAGCTTTTGTTTGAGTGGCCTCTGTTATTTTTGCTGAAGCTACATTTTAAACTACGGATTCAATTAAGCCTTTTCAAAAGCTTGATTTCTAAACAAGCATTATTATTATTATTATTATTATTTGCTATTTTTTTTCTAGACAAATGTTGTCAAAAAGCTGTCCCAAATGAAGCATAATTTAACATTATTTCAAGCTGAATATTTAGTGATGTTAATAGCTTGATCTTATGAGCATGCTTGTAATCTTTATTTCTACATCAATGGTAAACATTAAAAGACATCCTAGCAAGTAATTCAGTATTAGTTTTCAGTTTATAAACATACCAAGGAACTCAGCATCTCTTCTATTACCTATCTTTCTTTACTTGGAAATAATCATTTTTAACTTCATTTTGCAGATAGTTTTTTCTCGGCCAGGCAACTTGAAGGCATTCAACAACTCATTTGAAGGCATTCCATCTGCATGTTGACCATTTTCTAGAAACCTATCATTTTTTAAGGTCCATCATTTCATTCTATTCTACCAGTTGATTTTTGGTTTAACAGTGCAAAATTTTTATAATATTTTTGTCACGACTTGGCTCAAAAGCTTGGAATAGCAAGGCAGAAACAGACACTCAGACGAAGAAATTTAAAAAAAAAAAAAGGACGAAGAAATTAAAAAAAAAAAAAAAGTTTAGCTATATGTTCTCGCCTTAGTATTTAAGCCTTATAGTCCAAGTCATGACAAGATCTATTTGACCGTCCATTCTCGCCTTGATTTTTCTAAGCTCTCGGACCTAATAGTGACAATTTTTCCTCTCTTGACAGAAATGAATAAAAGAAGATTCAGAAATCTAACCCAAATTGTTAGTATATGCTTAATCATGATAAAAATTTTTGCCTTTAACCCACCAAAACCTCCACTCCCAACCACCCTTGTTTCCTTTTGCACTAGATTGTGTAGCTTGTATCATTTCATGCTCCAAGACTTTCCTTGTGCATGTCATTAAGGTTCTGATTGGTTTAAATTCATTTTACTTCACAACTACACAGTGAGTATTTGCATATATACTAATTATTAGTCCAGATTATTTACATTAAGAGATATGAATAAATATATTTTTTTCATTGGTAATTTTGATATGAAACAACATAAATAAATAAGTATCTTCATCAACTAACACACTTTCATGAAAACAAATATCAATTCAATACTTCACCATTTTCATTTCCTTTCTCTTTTAATTCCATCAAACTAAACGAGGATCATTGGCTGCACATAAATCCAAAAGATAAAAAAATCTTGTTTCCTTGCACACTAATTCCTTAATTCATTTCCTAATGCTCTCAATTGTCTTTTGCAGATGAGTTATCAAGCATTCAACAACCCACCTCCATCCGGTTTCACTGTTACCATTATTTTCATTTTCAGAAAATAAAACGTTACATCTTTGCGAAGCTTCACTACTGTTTCCTTTATATTTTCTTGATGAAAATCAATGATTTAGATACCATTTTTTTTTTATTTAGAGGATTTTTTTTTTTTTTCAAGTAATCAATCTCTCGTTGTGGATCCACATGCATTATGTTAGACACAAATGCATTGTTTCAATAAAAGCTTTATCTTTGTTTCCCAGCCTCTTGCATCTCCAACTACCAAATAAAGCTGGTTGCTTCATTATTGCCTCATTGTCTAATAAGAATGATTGTTTTTGGATACTTTATGAACATATATTCTTATGGAAATAAATCAATGTTAGAATCATCAATAATGTTAGAACTATATTGAGGTTGCAGCTTTATGGTTCATATTTACTTCAGATAGAACTAAGGGTGGAGTTTGATGGGGGGGAGAGAATGGGCAAAGTTTGTATTTTTGTTGGCTTTGAAAATTTATGACCAGATCTGCTGCAATGTAGTCATTTTAGGTTGACTTGTAGAAGCAAGTTAAGCTTGAGCTGAGATTGTTGATCTGATTCCTTGCCTAAGCTTCCAAATAAACATCACAGACACAGCAACTGAAATTTATCAAACAAAAACAAAAATTGAGGAATAAGAAGCTGAAAGCAATGTGGATTCTGTAATTCTTATATGATTGCTGGCCACCATCGTAAATCCTGATGATAAATTTTCTGAAGCTAGGAATTATTTTGGATGCCTCTCATGCATTTATTTATTTATTTATTTATGTATTTAATACTTGAATGTCAAATTTTATATTTATAACACTCAAATATTTTATATCAATTAAAATATCACAATTATTAATTTTTAAGAAGTTTAAGCATATGTAAAACGCGAAAAATGAAAATTTAGCAATTATATTTGTAAATGCTTATAAAATTGTATCTACTAATGCAGCCTCTCGTGTTGTGGAAAAATTATTGCATCAAGAGTCTTGATGTAATTTTATATCAGGTCTCCAATCAGGGTCTGTACGTGTACAGACATATCTGCTCATGTATTAAATTGAGGTTCTGCCTGTACACGTGGCAGATATTGATTGGAGCTTTGATACAAAACTGCATCATAACTTCTTGTGGTTTTTTTTTTTTTTTGTAGGAAATGTGAGATAAAAAAAAAACTATAATAAAGATTTAAAAAAGCGATATCATTACATCCTCTATAAAAATCAAGAAGTATTTTATTGTCTTATTGGCAAATAATACAAGAAATACTTTCTAAATAAAAACAATTATATCACTTATTCTCATATTTTTCTTATTGAGATTAAAATTAAAATAATAAAAATATAAGGCAAATACTGAAAGTAAAACCAATCCGACGAACAGTTTCTTCTCTCATTATCTTCCTCCCTTAGGCTCTGTAGATGCAGTGAAAACTGCTTTCGACTTCATGCCATCAATTGAAAATGTTTTGTTCGCATATGAAGAGCAATCAAAAGAAGCGCTTATTGCGTACAAACGCTGCACTCAAATTTGCGTGCAGTGTAAGTGTATGATCTGAACCATTGATTGCGTGCAGTGTATGATCTGAACCATTGATTTTTTTTTTTTTTGTATGGGACCCACTCTAACATTTTTTGCGGTCCTGATCAGACACATCACGTAAATTTTGTGTGCGGTGTCCTCACGCAATAATTTTTGCATCAAAAGAGCTGTCATTGATCTGAGAAAAAATTGGAGCTTTATAAACGTTTTTTTTTCAGTAATATCAAATCAGTTTTTCTCCATTTGAAAGAATGGCTAAGGTTGGAGTTCATGAAGAAATGATCACTGTATAATGTAGGGGGGGATTGATCGATGGTCTATTTCTTGAGTTTTGGAGCTCAATTTATAGGCAAAGATGCCTTCTTTATAATGAAAAATATAATGATTGTGATATTTTCTTATATGATGTTAAAGATTTGAATGGGAGATTTACATGTAAATAAGAATTTTATTCAAGTGTTCGATATGTAAATACATTAGAATTGTGTGGTATTTATGCAAATGGCCGTTGACTTTTTTCAAAATTTCATCACCCTCATGGCAGCCCTTCAACTTCCATTCCCTTCACTTTATTTTAGAAAATTAAATAAATATATTTTATCTTCTTTTAAGAAAAAAAAATATATTGAATGAGAAAAGTGATCCCAAGACTTAAAATTTAGACTAAAGGAGGATAGTAAGAATGTACTCACCCATAATTATGTAGATAATTGTTATAATTAATAATTAAATTAAATTAAATTAAATTTGGGCAATGGATTAATCAAATTATTATACACAATAATTAACATAAGGCCAATTACAAGTAATTAAGTTTTCTTTTAAGTAAATAAAGTGTTATTGAATAACCATAATTAAAATTTTATTAGAAAAAAATTATTTAATTCTCAAGTTCTCAAAATAATTTTTCTTTTATTTTTTTATTTTCTTTTCGAACATTCATCAGTTTTTATTCAATAATCAAACTTTGAGAGTTCTTTAAATAATCTTGTTCATTCATTTTACACATGCATCACATGTCTCATGCTCATCACCCATATCAAAATATATTTTATTTTAAATTAAAAGCACATAAAATGGAAAAAAGATATTATTTTATTATTATATTAATTTCATTACCATACTAAAATTTAAAACATAATATCTCATTTTAAAAAAATGAAAATGAAAATAGAATTGGTTTAATCTATTGTTCTATTAGGATTCATAATTTAGGAAATGTGTTTGGAGTCCACTAATATGCTAACAGAGCCCACTAATATATGGTCAGGTGGTTTTGGAGAAATTATTGCATACGAACACCGAATGCATCTTTGCATGCAGAGTCCAATCCTGACGGTAGGGTCAGGATATATTTCAATTTTTTCTTTTAAAAAAAAAATTAGATGAGGCCCACTGAAATACATACTGACCATACGGTTATCACCTGATCTACAATCAGGATCGGAATGCATGCGGTGTCCGTCCCTATGGAATAATTTTTTATGGTTTTAAGTACACTCAAATCTCCAAAAAAAAATAAAAAATAAAAAAGAAAATGCTTATTTGTTCCAGATCTGAAGCTCCTCCCCGCAGTTTTCCACTTTCATGGCGTCTCACGCCATAGTTCTCCAAAATCTCTCTTTTATCCCTCCTTCTTCGCAGTCCTCATTCTTCCCAGTCTTTCAATCGAAATTCAGTTTTGCTTCTCGGTCCGATTCTGTTGCACTCAATGCCCATCGTCACCAAGAAGCAGAATCTTCACTTGAAGATAACAAGAGTAGCACTGAGAAGAAGAAGAAGAATAAGACAGAAAAGGAGCTTCGACCCAATTTCTATCACCAAACCTTGAAGAAATGGTCCGTCAAGATCTCCTCCCAGAGAACCAAGTTACCATGGCAGCAACAAGGAGCGGAGGAAACGGAGAGAGCCGTGCATTGCTCTCCGGCTACAGGTACGCATGTGGATCTTCCAACTAATCGAACCAGTTTAGTGTTCTCGGACGGCGGGTCGAAGTCGAGATCCGCGCGAGGAGACCTTGAAATCGATTCCTCCGACTACAATCAAGCGAGACCAAGGAACTCACCGCGTGCTTTGGCTGAGCGCAATTCGCTAACCGAAGCCAATTGCGTTAAGTTAGGGTTGGGAATTCGTTTTCCGTCAGCTCCTTGGGCACGACGAGTAGAATTCAAAAGTTCTAGGGTGCCGTGTGATCGTGATTTGGCTGACAATAGTCATGATGATGAATCTAGTTCTAGTAGGAGCACTGTTTCTTCATTTATTCGGAGGGATTGGGAACTTCAGATGCAAGAAGCAGAAGCTATTTCATTGCCCAGCGTTAGGGCCAAAGCAAGGAAATCCCAGTTTAGCATTCAAGCTGAAGCAGTTATCCCATATCAGGATCGTAAATATGATGCTGAGTGTCTGGAAGAATCAATGGATCGCTGTAATCCAGAAGATGCTGGAGGTTCTGTTGGTTCCTACTATGAAAAGATTTTGACAAATTCCCTTTCTGATACTGATGATTCAAGGGATTCTTTATCATTCCCATGGGGGAATGGGGATGATGTAAGCAAGATGGATCCTTTTCGCAGAAGAAGCAATACTGATATGGCTGAGAGAACCATTCCAGAGCCTGAGCTGCGTAGGCTTAGGAATGAGGCGCTGAGAATAAAAGAGAGAATGAGGATAGGTCCTGCTGGGGTTACTGAAGCTGTTGTGGAAAGTATTCGTCAGAAATGGAAGGAAGTTGAGGTGGTCAAGTTACGTATAGAAGGTCCTCCGAGTCTCAACATGAAGAGGACAAATGAAATTTTGGAGGTCAGATTTGTTCTTTTTTTTTTTTCTTAGTTCAATGCAATCATGAAATCTGATATCTTAGCTGGTTTTACTAGGCAAAACTTCCTCCTTTAAGATATTTCCTGTTCATGTTCTATATTGGTCATAATTATTATATCATAAGTAACTTCAGCACCATTAGACTTTGGAAGATTTGCATAAATATCATTCGATTCCTATGTTCTTACATATGGAACACCAAATCCTTAATTTATACATATATGCATGAAAAGGTGTATTTCACTTTTTAAAACTTGAAATAGTGGTATTTTTATGTGATATGAAAGATTCGGGCGCTATAAACTTAAAAAATGTGAACTCTCGGTTTCTAAATTATAAATACATAGGAATTTTTAGTGCACATGCAATAAAAGCATTATTCTCTGCCATGAGTTGCTATCTCAGTGATCAACATTGTCTAGAATCGGCTCAACTAAAGTAATGTGCTTTTCCACTGCTTGTAAAACTTTCCACCATTATCTGAGGCCGTTGCTATCTAGCAGCTGGTTGAATTTCATTTGTCTTGTAAAGCTATCGTTGATCATGCAAATTTTATTTGTAATGTTACATGTAATTTGGTATTTATTTCATTCCATTTCTCTTGTACCGAATGGAATAAAACTTTTTATCCCTGATCAGAGAAAAACGGGAGGCATTGCTATTTGGAGGTCTGCAAGTTCAATTGTGTTGTACAGAGGTCTGAACTACAAGCTTCCTTGTGCACGCTCGCTCGCAATAATCTCTGATACTACTACTAGTATGGATGGTTCAAGTTCATCACACTCAAATCATTCTACTAAAGCCAAGGGCACATTAAAGATTTTGGATCAATTTGATGCTGATATTGAATTATTTAGTGCAAGAACATTTGAAGCTCCTTTAGATGCTTCTCATATTGATTCTATTTTAAACCAGTTGGGACCAAGATACAAAGATTGGTCTGGTCGTGACCCACTTCCTGTTGATGCTGACTTGCTTCCTGACATTGTTTCTGATTACAAACCTCCTTACAGACTTCTTCCATACAAAATGAAAAGAAGCCTTACGAACAGGCAAATGACATTTCTTCGGAGGATTGCGAGATCCATGGCTCCTCATTTTGCTCTCGGTGAGAATGCTAGCTATTTACCTGAACGACTGCTCTTTATTTTTGTTTAGGGGCATTTACATACATTCCACCTAATTGCTATGTATTTACATATCTAACACCTAAACTTTATTTCATACATTTATACCCGCCCAAAATTTTCATATCATTTAAATAATATATCATTTTAACTTTTAAAAATGTTTAATACATCTTTTCATGTAAAGGGAAGGTGGTGTCTATGTAAAAACTGAAGTTCGCTTTAGATATGTAAATTCATAGGAATGATTGGTATGTATGTAAATCTTCCCTTCATTAATAGCAAGGGGTCTTGTCCTAGTATATCATCAAATTTTAAATTGTAGGGAGAAACAAACAACTTCAAGGGTTGGCCAATGGTATGGTCAAATTGTGGGAGACGAGTGCTATCACAAAAATAGCTATTAAGCGTGGTGTGCAAAATACTTCAAATGAGAGGATGGCAGAAGAGATCAAGGTAAATTAAAGAACCGAACTTGCGCCTTTAGGTTTTAATATGATTTTTATGAATTTGTTTTCGTGGTATTACTTTGAGGATACTGACAAAAAGTTCTAGATACAACGAGTTTTAATCTGTAAATGAGCTTTGAAATGATTATTTAACGTTGAAAATACAAGTTTTTGTGATCTTAATTATCACATAATGCTTTATGCAATGTATGCTGACCTTGGTGAACTCAAATTTGGTTTCTTTAGAAAATTTTTCCTTATAAGTTTTCTTTATATTAAATAGGATGCAATGGAGAAAAAGGATTCATGTAGCCGACCCCACGTAGTGGGATTAAGGCTTTGTTGTTGCTGTTGTTGTTGTTGAGATTTTTGGAGGGTCGAATTTTTAGGAGGCAAATTGGATTGTAGATAAAACACTACCCATAAATTTTGCCTCATTTAGCGATAACTTTTTGATCTTGGGTTCAAGGTTTCCCATAGGCACAAACTCCTATAGTTAATTATCCCTCCCGATAACAGTAGAACACTTTCAATTAAGGCTGGTCATTAATAATTGAATATTTAACATATAATAGTAACATACTTAGGATTTAAATTGTCTTCTTCATTTTTTTTTATTTCATCTTTTTATTTTAATACAAAATATTCTAATATATATATATATATATATATATATAATTTTATTTTATTTTATTTTTGGGGTGTCCATTTACATACATACCACACAATTCTTATATAATTCCATTTCTAACCCCCAACAATTCATACTTACACGTATATCACTCAAAAGTCAAATCTTTAACTTCACATCAAAAGTATTCCTGTTAAACCCACCCCAAGAACACCACGGTTTTGCGGTGTTTTGGTGTGATTTTGCGGTGTTTTGGTGTGATTTTGCGGTGTTATTGGGGATTTGTCGCGGTGTTATTGGGAGCTAAAGTTGTTAGATTACAATAGTTGTTAATCTATCTATGAATGTAAACATATCACACTAGAACATATTACAGTAGAACATATTTGTAAGCTATATAAAGACATCAAGTTCAATAATAAACCAAATTAACATCAAAACTCATATGGATTTACCATAAGACCCTTTTCAATTGTATAAATGGTCAAAAACATATTTGAAAATTAATGAAGCAAAAAATGAATTTGTATTTTAAATTACTATAGAGAACATAAATTAAGAGTAAATGAAACCCGAAGTACTACAATCAAATGAACTAATTAGTAATACACTTAGAACTTATTAATGAAATCTATCAACAGGCTAGTATATGTTTCCGTGGGTTGTGGTGTAAAACTGCTATTTTGTATTAATTACTAATGAACGTTTAGGAACATATTTTAATTAAAAAACAGTCTAATTGTATTGAATTTCAGTTGTATGCCTCATTGAGACAATCCAAACTTGCAAACAAATTTGCCTCGCATGGGATAACTGGTTCTTGGCTTTATGAAGCTTCTTTCTCTATTCCTGTAAGTCATGGTTCAAGTTAGAGAAAGTTAATGTTACATAGAGTAAAACTTTTTTTTAATGTAGAAATATATACTATTTAATCTCTTATTTTTTTTCCCAATGCCCTTTTATTCTGGAATTAGATATTTTTGATCGCATCTTAGTTGGGTCATTCAAATTGCATTCTCTATTTGATGTTTTTTTTTCTTTTTCTTGTTTTTGCTTTGATGGAGACGCTTTTCCGTTTAATATATCTTCAACATCTACTGATGATTTTTTCAATGATTCCAACATACATTGTTCAGCTAGTTCATTTTCTTGTACTTTGATACTAATTTGATATGCAAACTTTTGAATGTGTGGGCGAAATAGAATGTCACTTGAAGAGTCATTCAATATTTGGGACTCTTTAAGATGTTTATATTCATAAGTGTTATAATGTTCATTTTTACTTGAACAGACCATCGCAATAAGAAATATTTATTAGGAATTTTTGTTATATTTTTCAAGCTAAGAACTCGTGTAGAGTAATCACATAATAACCCCATCATTTTAATTTTTTTGCAGTTGCACGTGATCTTAGAATTAATCTTGTCAAATTTAACAAATCAGTGTTTGTTTATCCCCTGATTATCCAAATTCTCTACATAAAATTATGAATCACTGTCTATAGAGTATTCCACAGCAGGACCACCATAGCCCATATAATAAACCATCCTCAAACATTGAGTATAGTTTCCTCGCATAAAATGAAGTTGTCTGCTTCAACACTAGGCTACTTTTAACCATGGGCACAATTAAAGGCTGAGCACATTTGAAATTTTCGTTCTTCTCATTTTGTCTCCATGATTTCACAACATTTTCAAGTCCCACAAAATAGTCGGTAAGATAGTTTGTTGGCTTGGAGACACTGTGATCGATATTATTTGTGGTCTCATTTATTTATATTGATAAAATTCTCATTTCAAATATTTTTTTTATTGAAGGTTGTTGACCACATTTGTCTGTTATTGTACAAATCAGCTAACCAATACTGCATTGTAGGATTCTTTTCTCAATCATTGCATACCAAATTTTTTCAAACTACTCAGAATCACACTTGTTCATGTTTTTATAAAAAAAGTCATTCACACTCTTGCTACTCATACCACAATGCACCTTCAAATGAAAATTTCTTATAAATATGTCATTACATAATCTATGTCGTGTATGTTGGAGACCATCTTCAATAGCTCTTATCATTGTTTGGTCTTGATCAGTAAAAATTGTTGTTGGATGTTTGTCATCCATTATACGAATGAATGTTTTGAATTGTCACTTGAAAGATTCAATCATCTCATTGGACAAAAAACTAACTATAAATAGAACATTTTGTCAATTGTGGTTAACCCAAACAAAAGGAACACAACATAAATTATACTTATTCAGCTTATAGCTTGTATAAAAAATTATGATGTCCCCAAAACAGTCATAATTAAGTATGGACGTACCATCGCTCCAAAAAAAGCTCATCAATCTACCGCACTCATCAGTTTGGAAGTCCCACGCAAACATGTTATCCTCAGCTTGTCTCTCTGTGAACAATTGTAATAAAGAATTAGCATCACCTTGTTCAGTTCTCTCTTCTTTCTTTTTGAATAAAGTTAAAGGCAACTCTCTTCATACATTCCAGTTTTTTTTCTCCCCCAACTTCTGTAGCATGACAGTTAATTGCATTTGTTGCTCTAATCTTTGATTTTGTCATTGATCTCAACACATCTGCATTGATCTCGCTTATTTTTCTACTGGTACGCAAAAGATGCTTATCACCAGGTTCTGTCATGTGATAATTATGACTTTCTATAAATTTCTTAAATGTTCAGTTGCATTCAACATCAACATTATGTTGAATCATGACTGGACAGCCAGTCATTGTATCCATTTTTTCGAACTTCATTGTGTTTGTGAACTTTGACTCTTTTTTGTGACCATTTTTTCCACATACGAAGTCCATCGTTTTAATTTTCTTTGAGTTCGACCAAAAATTTTCATGGTCCATACGTATAGTGAATCTAATATGAGAGCATAAACACAATATTGTTCATATGTTTATTGCTCATTGTGGACAATGGTGCATAGAAAATTGCCTGCAATTGGATCATTGCAAACATTTACAATCAATAAGACAATATAGTGAGAGCTATGTTATGATTCTTCATATGTGAAAATGAAAACGGTCTTGGCCTTTTGGCAACTGTCAAAGTGTTTAATCAATGGTTATACGCAAAGAATAAGATTTATCCATGAGATGGTTGGGAGAAAGGCAGTTCCAAGCATTTTTCAAACATACTTTTTTAGGAAGATTTACATACACGCCACTCAATTCTTATGTATTAACATAGCTAACACCTATACTTCAATTTTACATGTATACCACCTTATGCATGAAAATGTGTATTTCACTTTTTAAAAGTTAAAATGGTGGTATTTTTTATGTGATATGAAAACTTTGGGCAGTATAAATTTAAAAACAAAGTTTAGTCGTTAGGTATGTAAATACTTAGGATTTGGTGGTATGTATGTAAATGCCCCTACATTTTATCATAAAGCTGATAGATAGCCAATCAAATCCTCCATAAAATTGTAAAAATCTCAAAAATGTACTTGTCTAAGTATTTTGACAGTTTATGCATGCCATGTACTGACTGCTGACTAATGCGCTTTTTTTGGTTTATATTTTGTATGAAATCTCTTAATTATTTTAGTTTGACACTTCTCTTAATTGGACCATTTGACAGGAATTGACAGGAGGAACTCTGCTTTCTAGGAACAAAGAGTATATTGTATTTTACCGGGGAAATGACTTTTTGACACCTTGTATAAGGGATACATTAATCGAAAGAACGAAACTGGCAGCAGGATGTTGAAGAAGAAGCTCGGTCCAGAGCATCTGGTTTAATTAGTTCAAACTCTAAAGCTGTTGAAGGTCCATTTGTTGCTGGTACTCTTACAGAAACTTTGAAAGCATACACTTACTGGGCAAACCAACCTAGCGGTGAGGACAGGGAAAAGATGAGAAGAGATTTAGCCTTATCACAGCAAGAGTCTCTTGTTAGATATCTGGAGCATAAGCTATCACTAGTAAGGTTTCCATTATCAGGCAGATTAATGCATCATAATTGAAATGAGGTGTTTTAACCTTAGTAGCATTTACATACATAGGACACAATTCTTATGTATTTACATATTTCGCACTTATAACTTTCAGATTTACACGCATAGCACTCTAATCTTTAATATTCGGTTATAGCACTTTTATGATCTTTTAAAAGTGAAATATACCTTTTCATGTGTAGGTTTAAAGCTCCAAAATGCTATATAAATATAGAAGTTTATTTTTGAGACATGTAAATACATAAGAATTGTGTGCTACGTTTTTAAATTTCCATATTTTTAAATATTAGATGGAATAGTTCATTTATTTCAGCTCCTTTTTCAATTGTTTTTGATTGACAGGCAATTGCGAAAGTGCAGAATGCTGAGAAAGCCTTGGCAAAAGTGCAGGAAACTCTACGACCGGCCAATCTTCCAACCGATCTCGAAACTGTTACCGACGAGGAGCGGGTCTTATTTCGTAAAATTGGACTTAAAATGAGATCCCATCTACTTTTAGGTGATTTAATTCACCAATTTTGTTAATCTCTTTTTATTGCAGTTTACATGGTTAAGAACTTATTTCTTTAGAGATTTCAAAAATATTTTATAACAAATTTGTTAGAGGATCTAATCGATGTTTTGCAGGGAGGCGTGGAGTTTTTGATGGTACCATAGAAAACATTCACCTAAATTGGAAACATATGGAGCTAGCAAAGATAATTGTCAAGGCAAAAAATTTTGCTCAGGTAAAGCATATTGCTATCTCTATTGAGGCTGAGAGTGGTGGGGTGTTGATTTCAGTTGATAAGACCACCAAAGGCTATGTAATAATTCTATATCGAGGAAAGAACTACCAGAGACCAAACATTTTGAGGCCGAAAAATCTTTTGTCAAAAAGGGAGGCACTAGCACGCTCCATAGAGCTTCAAAGGCGTGAGGTGAGAGCATAACTCATTATTTTTAATTTTGTTCAGTTTAGTCTGTTCTTCGCCTAATTGATTCTCAAATTGTTATTCATTTTTTGAATTGGCAGGCTTTGAACTATCATATCACAAATCTGAACCAAAAAATCCGGATGCTGAAATCACAACTTGTAAGATATGATCTTTTGTTAGAACTTTATAGATTTTGTTAACTTTCAGTGAAAGATAAGTGGTGGAATATGGGAGAGATTAGGGGTGGCTCTCACCTCTCTAGATTTAAGAAAAGCATTGTATATGATATTAAAGTTAACCCTTCAATCCTATGGATGCTGAAAGCATTGTATATGATATAAATTATCTAAATTTGAGTGAATTCTTTGACCTTTCTCATTTAAAATTTTGGTGCCGCCACTTGTTAAGAGATCCTTCATATTTTTCTAATATCTGCAATGTTCTATGCCATTTGAACAGGCTCAAATGAAACTTAACAGAGAACCAAGCAGTCAAGATACATGCAGTGAAGTTGTAGATGATTTTTCTGATGGTAATGTTGAGGTAAGTGCTTTTAAAAAGACTTTGCTATTGTTTCTTAGTAGGTAAAGCAAAGTTGCTTCTGTTTGGATGAGATTCTCAAAAAGTTGTTTTAAAAAAAACTGCTGTTGAGAAAAAAAAATTTAAAAAATTTGAAAAAATAGCTTTAAAAAAATTATACAGTGTCATAAGATGATATTACCTCCTGAATTAAAATGCTTCATCAGGATGAATGTGAAGAGGCCCATCTAGAACGTATGCTTCAACGGGAAAGGAGATGATTCCGATTCGCTGAGCAGAATTCAATTTTGAAAGAAGCAGTTCCCTATTATTGAACAGGCTTCAATACACCTTCAACAATGTAGTTTTAAGGTTCGACATGAGTGCCAACACAGAGGTAACTGCAATATGTGTTTTTCATGAAATACTTGTTGGTTTTTCCAAGAAAAAATTGCCTTATTTTGATCTCTTATATTCGAAATTTTTTTCTTCAGTGAAATCAGCTAAATTTTGTTTGAATTCATCAGGTTTTACTCTTAATCTGAACGCTCCCCACTTGTTCTCTGGGAAACTGTGTTCGCAATTTTTTTTTAATGTGTAATTAATCTAAACATTTGTAGATATCAAGTTTGAGTGCAATTTTAGACCATATATGTTTAGTTTCGTTTTGATTTATTGTACTATTTAGATTTTCTGGTGTAGTTTCTTTTGTATTCATGTTTAGCTATGTTCTTTCTTGTTTATACCTGTAAATTTTGGTGGTAGCCATATGTGAAGAGAAAAATAGATGATGCATTGTTATTAGAACATTTCAATTTTATGAGAACTATAATGATAAAATGAAGTGGGCACACATGCAACCATGAATGTCACTAATGTGTTCCTCATTGAGCAAAGTGCCAAATAGTCCCTTGACTATTTACATCAGGCTCGTTTAGTCCTAAAGTTTGTAGAAGTATCAAATTGGTCTCCAAATTTGTTAAGTTGGGGCTCTAATAGTCCTGCATAGGGAGTATTTTAGCTCTAACTTTATAAAGAGTATGGGGATTAATTTGACACTTCTATAAATTTTGGGACTAAAATGGTCTCTTGTAAATAATTGGGGACTATTTTGACACTTTACTTGTTCCTCATTGGCAACTTATTTAAGGGGATTGATCGCCAACCTTCTAACCAAAAACTACGAGAATAAAAAAGGATGTAATCCTATGTAGTGATTTGAGTCGATATTGATTAATCACGCTATTTTAAGCCTATTTTTATCCTCAATTCAACTATTTGAATTAGGCATGAAATCATCTTGACCTTCTAAAGCTCATCTAGAGGTATATCAATGCACTATGAACTCATTTGAGCTCTATTCATTCAAATTCGATTTCAATCATTAAAATGCTTGGAGATTTGTAATTCACTTAAAAATTGAGAAATTTACATACATACCGTACATTTCTCATGTATTTACATATCTAACACCGAAATTTTGATGTTTACATTTATAACACCCTGGTGTCATGATACTATGCATGAAAGCATGTATTTCACTGTTAAAATGATAGCAATGGTGGTATTTTTTATTGAGATGGAATAAAATTTTATGGTTCGATCAATTAGAATTCAAAATTATACTGTAGAATATGATCACATCAGTTTGAGAAATTCGGAACAAAATTTCAAGCCGAAACACAACAAAACAATCTCAGAAAAGCCTACCGAGATTTACGTGGAAAATCCTGATAAAGAGAAAAAATCACAGAGTCACACCATTAAAAATTTTCACTATAAAGAACCATAGTTATACAAAGATACACATTCAGATTAACTCTCTGCAACCAAATAAACTTATAGAACTTCGCTTCATGATCTTACAAGAGAAAGCGCTCGCTTCAAAGTCAACCTCCTGGCAATTCATCTTGACTGGAAGTCCCTATCGAGAAACAACGTACTCTGTTGGTCTTTCGCCGTTCGAATTGAAGACTAAAGAACCGTAGATAGTAGAACTGTCTCGGCGGCGTAGTTACAGTGAGAAGCAGTATAATTATTTTGTGTGTTCAGTGTGGAATGAAGGAACCGACGCAATAAGTTGTAGAAACATCGATTCTGGTGTGGTTACGTCGGTGCGGTAACTTCTGGACTGGCGTAGCTACGCCAATTTGGTGTAGTTACTCAGCGCAAAATGTTGCATGACATTGAGGTTGTGATTGCTTATCTAGGCTCCACACCTAAATATTTTTTATATGATATTAAAGATTTAAATGGTGTGCATGTAAGTATATATTTAAGAATAATATATACATAGTTGTTAAAGCCAAAAGTGAGGAATATATTTTGTTAAAATCAATAGGTTTAAAAGTCTTTGTAAAGCATCTATTTACAACCAATTTTTTTTTTTTTTGGTTGTTTTTTTAATAGAAAATATGTTTTACAAATTAATGATTGTATTTTTCACTGATTTTATGTGAAATTAAAATAACTAAATGCTTTAATCAGCAAAATTCTCTTAATAGAAAACACAATCAAGTCTAAAATACATCCTTTACAAAATCAAATGAGAAAAAAGAAGGTTCATTTCAATAAGTTTTAATAATATTTATTCATTAGCCCGCTTAATTATAAATTTATATGTAGACTAATAATAATAATAATAAGGGCTATTTAGATATGAATTACATACCACACAATTCTTATGTATTTATATACCTAATGACCAAATTTTAATATTTACAATTCAGTAAAGTGTCAAGTAGTCTTTGACTATCTATACGGGTCGTTTTAGTCTAAGAATTTATAGAAGTGCCAAAATAGTCCTCAAACATTTCAAATTTGAGTTCTAATAATTCTCAACATGACTATTTCAATCATGAATTAAAGACTATGGAGATTATTTTGATATTTCTATAAACCCTGAGACTAAAATGTTCCCATCATTTAAAACATTAATACTCAAATTTTTAGATAACCTCAAAAGAATTATTATTATTATTATTATTATTATTTATTTATTAAAGATAAAGTACACATTTTTTATTAATGATACTAAAATGTTATAACTATAATTATGAAAATTTTTGTATATACTACTATGTGTGCCATTTTTATGCATACCATCCATTCCAATATATTTACATATTTTATATCTAAATTTTCTTTTCTTATATTTATGCTATTTAAATATTTTTGTTACATAAAAAATGTCATTATTTTAACTGAAAAAAAGGTAAAATAAAAATGTTTTCATGCTAAGCTGATATATATGTAAAAATTTAAGTTTAGGTGTTAACATGTAAATACATAGGAATTGAGAGATTTGTATGTAAATCTTCCTAAAATAAAAGTAGAAAAGGCGGCGCAAGGCCGAAGTCGTCCTGCTTCTGTGTTACAGCGAGGAGCCGACGACTTCGGGCAGCGCTCGAGAGAGAATTAGGGATTTTCTTCTTCTTGTGCTGTTCGTAGATGGTCATTGCGGTGCAGGACTCGAGATCTAGCCTTTGCTTCAGTGCATAGTAATAATGTCAGGGGCTCTGCAATACTTGGAGTTACAGAGGAACGAGAGGCCGGAATTGGCGGAGTGGTATGACGCCCTTGCTGACCTCTACGAACGCAAGCTCTGGCATCAGCTCACCCTCAAGCTCGAGAAGTTCGTAGCTCTCCCCGTTGTCCAGGTTCGCGTCTTCTTTTATTCTTAGGTCAATTTATATCATGTCCTTATTCTTATTTTATAAGTTTTCGTATTTTCTTATGGAAGCCTGGTATAGATCGAATTAAGACTTTGTTGTTTCTTCGTTGTAATATGCGATGGTAGTGGGACTTTTGTGCGGTTGAATGAAGATTTGCCTTCCATCATGTCGGGATGTCGGGAGTGAGGGAGGGATTTGATTATCCTTTTAGTATTGGCCTTTCTTTAGGTTTATTAGTTGGCCACTTGTAGAGATGCAAATGTGGAACATGTAATTTGAGGAAAGATGGGTTGGATTCTTGCTACGGTTGGGGAAATTTGGGAGTAGGTGTCTTAAATTCTTTGAGTTGATCATGCTTAACTTATCGCGCTTGGAAAAAAAACAATGTGGTTTTGCGGTGTAGTTTTGAAGATGTGGGTCGGATATATTGGCTTTCATATGCTTTATAAGTAAAATGTTCAAGGATTAGTGCTATAGTAACAGGAATAAGGTAATAATATCTGGGAAGAGGTCTAAAATTGACAAGCGAGAAGGCTATTGATAAAGTAGGGAATACACTAAAAATAAATTGAGGAGAAAGCAATGGCGTTAGGAAGAAAGAAGCTTGGAGAAAAATTGGATTTGAAACATTGTAGATTTTAGAAATTTTATTGAATAGAGAGTGCAGTGAATTGATAAGAGGGTTATTTACATAGGGAGGTTCTCAAAGAATACTTATTACATGTGAAGGTCCCAAAAAATCAATTTTATAGGTAGAGGTCTTTTGTTAGGCCTCCGTCAAGAAGGCAACGGACGACTCCGGCCGAAGCGGCGTGCATTAGAGGATTCATGCCTTTGCGGAGGTAATATGCGGAAATCACTGCTAGAATCATGCCGGTGACTAAATCGGAGCAAGAATGGATCACCCCAAATGCTCCTTTTATGAGACTCAACTCTCGTTAGCTACCCTTTGGCAAAGCAGCTCCCGCTGCTCTTGCTCCAATTCGAAACATAAGGGAGAAAGGCCAGGTCGGCCACCGCTCCTCACGACCAGCATGCAACGCCCTAATCGAGCTTCCCTCTCGTAACTCCATCTCCCTCACACGTCTCCGACAAGGCCAAACAGCCTGCAGCCCCTCAGTGCTTCACTGTTCCTGGACACACTAAGCAGCAACCATATTTGTACCTTCCTCTAACCGACAACACACACAGAGGAGCAGACCAAGCTCACCGAAGTCGTCCGCTGCCTTCTTGGAGGAGGCATAACAGAGGCCCTTTACCTGTAAATTGTTTTTTTGGGACCTTCAATTGTATTTTATGTAATAACCCCTTGATAATATTTTATGTTCTTTCACATCCATTCGTTTAGTTGGAGCATTGCCAAGTAGTCTTATCAATAATTTGTATTATTTATTGGTTATATGATTGTGAAAATTCCATTATAGATCTGCTTCTGACTGTAAAATTTTTTTTGGCTCTTTTACCTTAACTTGAAGCCTTGAGATTCAACTCTAACAATGAAGAATTTTTTTGTGATCTTACTGGACATGGATGCTACTGTAAAATCTATTCCAGTAAAGCGGGTTGCAGGATAATTGAGAAGACTGGTGGTGGTGGATTAGAAGCTCCTTTTTTCAGTATTAAGAAAGTTAATTGAAGATTGTGAGGGGATTAGAATGTTAAGAAAGCGGTGAGGCTAGAGGGAATAGGTGCTGGTAATGCTGGCATGGAATTAGAATTAATGATGAATTGCTGATATTCTTATAGTCTTGCAGTAAGGGGGTAAACTAATGGTGATATTCTTAGAAGTTCATTGTTTGGTGAAATCAACTTGGTTTCTCTAGCCTAATCCTCAACAATGCAAAGAAAAAAAGTAGTAAATGAACTAAATATGCTGGCTTAATATCTTATGCTGTATTAAGAACTCATAAGATTTATTTTATCTATTTATTTATTTATTTATTTATTTTTGCTACATGGTTGATGTTAAAGTATAATGAATGTTTTTAAAAATAAATTTTCTACTTGAAATTTGGAGAGACTTTGAATTGAAAGACTAGAGAATTAGTGTAAGCATGTAGAAGAAGAATAATTATTACATGTTTGAAAGAAGTCTAAAAAGATCTGATTTTGTGAAAGATTATATGTTATTTTACGCTTTGATGGTCAACAATAGAATGTTGTAGGGATAATGGTGAAGATGATGTTAAAAGATAAAATTATTGTGGTTTTTATGCTTAGATTAGACATATTTTGCATACAAATGAGGTTTTAGTATTAAATTATTGGGTGTTTGAAATTAAATATTAAGATAGTTTGATTTACAATGACGGTATTTCCTTCCCCTTATTACATTATTTATGATTAGGAGGTATGATGGCTTCTTAGCAGCTATGTATTAAAGACCAAATTATGACACTCCAAAACGTTCTATATGATAGTTCAATTTTTTTATTTTTACTTAACATTCACATTTCCTCGATCACTTTCTCAATTAAGCATCTTGTGATGATGCACGTCCCAATTTGTACCATGTATTTTTGAATCATCATGGTTTAGTCGTCTTTTTCTAATGGGCATGTGTGATGCAGTATATTCAATTGTGTATAAATTAAGTTGAAATTGGATTCGATCAGCCCAAACAAACGCAATTATTTTTACTTGACTAAGTTGGGTTAATTCCTCTTGTGCGCGTGAGGTTGATCGATGATGTAGCTCTTCTTTCATGGCTCCTTCTCTATGGCTTTCCTTATGCATTGTGACATTGGGATTGACTTTTGACAGTGAACCCATTAAAGGACTTAGTGGTCACTAACACCAAGTAAAAGGTGCAAACCTATTACTCTTAGAAAACTTTTAACTACGTTATGGCCGTCTTTAGAAATTTTCATTGACATTAAAATGTTTTTTTTGATATCTAGGTTATTAAAAACAATAGTCATCCAAATTAATTGGAAATATTAAAAAATATATATATATATATATATATATATATATAACAAAGCACACTCACCGAAATGAGATATAAACATAGGAACAATGAATTACACATAAACAAGACAACTGTAAAATAAAGCATGACACATCATGGACACTATTTTTTTCAACCATTAATGTACAATGCAAAATCAAACGCTTAATGTCATTATTTTATATTAAAACAATCATATCTTGAATCATGATATCATATATATTACTTTTAAAAAAATTAATAGTTAATAGAAAAAATTAACATTTTACATTGTTTGCAATATAGTTACATTTCAATATTTCATTTTAATAGGCTTAATCCTCAACAACACACCAATTTTTAGCATTAATCATTATAAATGATTTTAGAGTTGCATTGTCTACATATAATACTTTGAAAAAAAAACATTGTATAATCTTCAAAATAATTATAGAAATTATGAATACATTGATGCATCATTAATTTGACTGGACATGATATTGAGGCACCCACTGGTTGTCCAACTTGAACTGAAAAAAATTTATTGAGCGAAGAACATTATACACATTTCACATCCATATCAATGAATTTCACAGTTGTTCCCGACTTGAATATGTTAAAGAAAATTACAAAATACACAAGTTTAGCATGTTGAACCCACGTTGGGGGTTTGTTGTCCGAGATGAGTGCACAAAGCGTTTTATACATGTCAGAGCTTGTTATAGCATTGATAGAGTTTGTCCTTGCAAAATTGGAAAACCAATGTTATGCCACAATCGTAGGGTTGATATAAAGTCTATAATTTGTGGTTTCCTCTCACTTTATATACTTAAGAAAGATTGTCTATGATACATAGACACAATATATTATTTGATATGGAGATGACAAAATTATTTAAGGGTCTGTTTGAGGTGGTTTTTTGTCTGCTTTGCTTTTCAAACCGCCACCATAGTTTTGTTTGTGGAACATTTTTTTTAGAAATTTCTATGGTAGAAAACAATTTTTTTTCAATCTAAGCTATTAAAGTGTGGTAGCTTCCAAAAATATGTGGTCTAATCTTTTGAAAATAAAATAAATTTTTAATAGCCACCGCGGTTTTTTGAAAAGTTGTTTCTTCTGCAGTAGTTTCACAGCTGCTCCAAATAAACCCTTAATCAATGAGATAGAGCAACATTCACATCACACCCTATGCATTTACATGTATAAGGTGTGCAAGAAAAAATTTGAAGGAATTACATATTTTGTAATTGCTCACCATGCTCTTTATAAAAGCATTGTGTAGGCACAACGTTCAATTTCTTTCACCTTTAATCATGTTGTGTTTTGTTAAGTATTAATCTCCTGAAATCTTATTTCATAATTACATTAAAAGAAGCCATTGAAACATATACTCAAGACTTAAGAGAGGATGAAGTTAAAATGAATAACACAAAATAATCATCCCATGATTTGAAATAGTGAATTTTAGTTAGGGAGCTTGGCTTGTTTGCACGTGCCCTAAATTTATTTATTTACTCTATTTTAGGTGTATCTGATAAGCATTAGTTGCAAGCTTGCTTCCCTTATGTACCTATGAGCTTAGTATTTTATTTGTGTTTTCACTTGATTGACCATCAATTTTTTTAGAGATGAACTAACTGAGCAATTAGTGTCCAAAATTCGCAATGTTTAGCAAGCATACTAGTCTTTGATTTTTTTTTTCTGGTTATTTTTCAAACATGTTAAAGCTTAATAAAGGATTGTTTCTTTTTTTAAAACCTTATGTCTACATGTTAATTTTTTCTCGGCACTTTCACATGAAAAATAAAGTGGATTTACTTTTTTGCTTTGTAGGATGTTTATTTAAGTTCAATTTTAGGCTTTTTAATTTTCTATTCACCATATTGAGAGAGAGGAAAAAAGCCCAAAAAACTCCACCGACTATTCATATGTGGCCAATTTATTCTCAGTGTCACATTTCTCCAATTTAGTCTCTCAAGTGTATAATAATGATTTCAAATGGCCTCTAATCCAAGTTGGGGTCAATTTTGTATAGTGAAGGAACTAAACTGGAATCAGTTTGTGTCTAAATTTTTGTCAGTCTCTACTTGATTGATCATTTGGGATCATTTTTGTATATATGAGGGCATAATCTAGAGAAGTGTAGAACTCTGGGTCTAAATTAGCCTTATATGAATAACTGGGTGACTTTTTTGGGCTTTATCTCTATATACAACCTGAGAAAATTTAAAATTATCACTATTAATTTTGAATCAATTTATAAGGTTTAATTTGTGCTTATAGGAGCAATGGAATTTAAGTTGAAGCAGCAAATTTGATGACATGGGATTTTCGACTAAGGAGGTTTATTGTAAGATAAACACATGTAGTATGGATATTTTTTTTCCTTGGGGCGTGTTGAACATGAAGGAAGAATGCATAAATAGAATTTAGGTTGAAAGGAGAAAGAATAAATATACTAATCTGAGTTGATCTCATTTGGATTGATGTAGACTTCCCTTGCTTGAATTTGATTTCCCTGTCCTTGGAGTTCTTGTTCATGGATGATGAGAAATGAGAGGAAATGGGCTAAATCACTATAGAATTTTAGGCCTTTTGGCCAGAGAGAGAAATCCTATCTTGCTCAACTATTGAGGTGAGAGTTAAATGGAGTAGTGCAAATTTCATTCAAATTGTCAATCTAGGTTTAACCTACATGATTTTTCTTTTTTTACGGTGATAGAAAATAAGACAATTTGTCTACTTAGAATTGCAAGTGGAAAGATTAGCTTACCACATTATATAAGAGATAACTATCTAAGTAACAAGAGAAAGGGTGCTGGCACATCGCCTGAGGAAGGGTTTTCGGGCCCCTTAATTGTTGTGACTTGGCTTGATGAATTTTCCCTTCTTGATGAAGTGGCCCCCTTTATGCTTTTAGCCTCCAATACCTTGCTATATTTTTTTATGCTACTTTTTGTTTAGCATTATGTGTATCCATGGAACCCAATGCAACTAACCAAATTAATCTTAGGTAGCCCAATATATCGAACTCAATTTGACTACAATTCATTTTGATTATATACTAGATAGTTTTGCGAGATTTGTACATCAATTATAAAGCTCTTTAAAAATAATATATGAGTGGTATGCTAACAAGCACATTAGTTGCTTTGTTTTCCTTCAGGTTGAATATTTATTGGGTTAATAATATTTTCTTAACACGGCCATGTCTATGATGCAGATATTATAGTATGTTGGATTGTTGTCTTTGTTTATGTGATGCCTATTTTTTGCTTCAAACAAAAGCGCATTACTATGTCTATAAATCGGAAGACACTGAAGTGCTGCTGAGAGTTGAGTGAAGCATACATAATACTCATCTTTCTTCATTCTTCAACGAAATTGAACAAGTTGAGAGATGATAAACCAGCTCAATTATGGATTATTTCATAACATACTAATAACGTTAAATTTTATATAGATAACTGCTCTGTTACCATGTAAATCCTAATTGATAATTAGTTTAACTTGACATTTTAATTCTTTAAGATAATCCAATAAATATCAAGCTTTTCTTTCAGCCTTGGTGCCTAGTGAATTCACCTTAACCTACATATGCATTGAAGCTTGTGATGAGCTGGCACTTAAACAATGTGTTAGGGTGCATCACGCTTATTTGGACAATCTGGGATTTATGCTTGTCTATTTCTTTTTGATTAGTCCTGGCATGTATATATATATATTTTTGAAACATTCTAGAAGTAAATCGAAGTTGTGTCAGTTTATTATGTGTTTGTTTATTTCTGATTATTTATTGGATAAAAGCATGAGATCTTTCAAAAGAATAATATTATTCCAATTCATTTTTTATTCATTTATTGGCTTTATGTCCAATAGTATAGGGACTTTTTATGAAGATTTAACATAATTCAAATCTGGGTAGAAGGATTATTTTCAAGTGCATGCCACAGTTTATTGTTTCTGTTAAACAGTGTTTGAGTGATGGGTCCATGATCACTGACAAACAAGATTGTTCTCATCACTTCATCCATTGTATCACATGCCCTTCAGCTTTCTTTTTGTTCAAACTACTACTGTTTTTGTTTTCACGTCTCTATCATTGTCTAAGCTTTTCTCTGTGGTTATCTCGTCTACTTGGATTTTTATCTTCGAGACAATTGGAATGCAGTAAGGCATGAGGGAATAAAATGCTCTAAGGTTGCTTAAACAAAATGGTGAAAGCTTTGTTGAACAGTTGTCCATGTGCAGTACAATTTTCGGAAGCCATGATAGCTTCCATTGCTTTTAAAGTGTAATTTTTGGACCTAGGATGAGAAGTTACTATGTTCTTTATATTAAATAATGTTCTTGTAAATCGAATTTACTCGTAATTGTTTGCATTTGTGATTGTACATGTTTGCATCCACACTGTTGTTTTCGAATAAGAACTGCCTGCATATGATTTACTTCTGTAACGTAGTTGATGTATTTATGCATTTCAGTTTTGAAATTTATATGCATATTTTGATGCTATTCTTTGTTATTACTGTGTAAACTGGGATAATTGGTATTTTTTTTATTTCTCGATTATCATGTATTCTGCAGCTCTTGGTTTGGATGATGATTCGTTATCATTGGATGCTTTAGTTTTGAGAGAAGTGTCAAAAGAGTCCCCTGATTCATTGTGAAGGTCATTTTAGTCTCACAATTTATAAAAGTGCCAATGTAGTCCCAGACACTTTTAATAATGGGCTGAAATACTCTCCACGGATGATTATTTTAGTCCAAATTTAAAGAGTATGGGGACTACTTTGGTACATTTATTGAGTATGGAACTAAAATAGCCCTATGTATAAGAGGACTCTTTTGATACTTATTTAGTTTTTGTTGTTTTTTGATAATGCAGTTTTATTTTTTAAACCTATATATATATATATATATATATATATAGATAGATGGCAACCTTGCATCATACATGTATTCTGTTCTCAACCTTGTAGTTGCATTTATCCACCTTTGATTCTTTTTCAGCTTTAAAAGTGTGTTTATGGTCTTTTTGGTTTGTTATTAATCTTTTAGTTGTGTTCTTTGCTCCCATTTTCAGGCTGGCGATGCTCTCATACAATTATACCACAACTTCATTAGTGACTTTGAAACGAAGATTAATCTCCTTAAACTTGCACATTTTGCCGTTGTAGTTTCTCAAAAATATGCTGAAAAAGAGGCTGCTATTAGTTATCTTGAAGGGATCATTGAAAAGCTGCATGCTACTAGGCAAACTCGAATAGAAGAACCTATTGTGTATGTTAAGATGCAAATAGCTGCTATTAAGCTTGAGATGGGAGCTCCAAAGGAATGCAAGAAACTTTTGGATGAGGGGAAGACCACACTTGACAGTATGACTGATATTGATCCGTCAGTGCATGCTAGTTTTTATTGGATTTCATCGCAGTATCATAAGTGCTGTCAAGAATTTGCAGAATTCTATAAAAGTGCCCTTCTTTATTTAGCATATATGCAAGTGGAATCGCTTTCAGAAATATTCAAACTGGTACTTGTGGTATTTTGATTCATTAAAATATGAGAAACATATTATCTTTTTATGTGTTGCTGTTACGTTCAATGAATGTTAGATTTTAATTTCTGGACCATCTATCCTATCTGATTAGTTATAATCTTTAAGTCGCAACATACTGGAGCGTGTTGATGTTGCATGGAGTTATAATGCAGATTTTACAGCAAAATGATGAAAATTGTAAATTCTGCCATGCATTTTTTGTGGATTCTGGTCCTTTCCCATTACACTGCAATTGCTTCATCTCATCCCTTCATTCAATTTTGGATGGTTAGGATTAGTTTCGCTGAAAGAGAAGTTAGTTGAATCAATCTAAACCACCCTAAAATGAAATGAAGGTGGGTAGGGAGCTAATTGCTTGTGTGATATTCCCTGGTAATTGGAGAGGAGGAGCCCCATATCCTTTCTCTGTAGACTTGATGGTCATGAACACTTACAAATTAGGCTTTGTGTCCAGCTAAGGTAGTAAATAGTTTGTTCAGCTTACAATTTGGTTTAATATGTCTGGCTTGAGTGTTGGGCCTTATGAGGTGATGACACACATTGGCAGTGGCCAACCGTTTGAAGTTACCACCATCATTCACACTACACCTGGTCTTCCATGTATCGCGGCTGAAACGTGCAAATGAAGATCATACACACTCATCCACACTACCGCTGGCGTTGACTGAGGACTTGGTGGTGATTCTAAAGCCATTATAGATCGAAGGAGTGCGTTAGGGAGTTGAGAGAGCGAAAGAGGTATTGGTCAAGTGGAAAGGACTGTCAGACTATAAATCAACATGAGAGCCCTATAGGATGATCCACAAGTATTTTCAATCCTTCCAACTTCAGGACAAGATGCTTCTTTGGGAGAGTAGTGTTACGCCCATACAAAGGCCTGTGAAACAACGACCATTCTGTTAGAAGGATGTAATGCTCACTTTTAACCCCTTTCTCATGATCCTCAATTTGGAATTTCTCCAACCTTTTCATATTGATAAGTTCCTATTATTAGGCCCCATTGGGGCAGTTTATTTGGTACGTTTTTGTTTTGAAAACACAGTCAAGATGTTTGTTTCGTTTGTTCGCTTTGCTTATATGAATAAGTCGTACAGGTTTTCTTAATAAACTCAGTCGAGAGCTCGACCCCGCGGCTCGCGTTCTTACCCCTGCTTATTAATCGCATGCCCTTTATTCCTCGCTCAACCCCCGTTCTGCCCTAGATGACTCATCGCTCGCCTCTCTGCCTCGAATGCTCCTATATCGCGATTAGCAGTGTCTTTCACCTCTTCCTCCTCTCAGAGATACTAGCAGAGCTTAATGGGCATCTTTTGAGAGCTCAACAAATCATGAAGTGGAAAGCTGATGAACACATGAGGGAGGTGCAATTTGAACCAGGGGACATGGTCTACTTGAAACTGAGACCCTACGATAAAAGACATTAGCCGGGAGGGGTGAGAACTTTCATTGAGATATTTTAGGCCTTATGAGATGATGGCATACATCCGGGCAGTGGCCAACCGTTTGAGGTTACCACCATCATTCATACTACACCCGGTCTTTTTTGTATCACGAATGTGACGTGCGAATTGAGATCATACACACTCATCCACACTGTCGCTGACGTTGACCGAGGACTTGGATCGAAGGAGTGCGTCGAGGAGTAGAGGGAGCGAAAGAGGTATTGGTTAAGTTGAAAGGGCTATCAGACTATGAAACAACATGAGAGCCTTACGGGGTGATCCACAAGTAGTTTTATTCCTTCCACCTTGAGGTCAAGATGCTTTTTTGGGAGAGTAATGTTACATACGAAGGCTTGCCAGACAACGAGCATGCTATTAGAAGCATGTAATTCTCACTTTTAACCCCTTTCTCATGATCCTCAATTTGGAATTTTTCCAACCTTTTTCTATTGATAACTTTGTATTATTAGGCTTCGTTGGGGCAATTTATTTGGTGTGTTTGCATTTTGAAAACGCAGGTAAGACGTTTGTTTTTTGTGTTCACTCTGCTTATCTGAATAAGCCATCGAGTTTTCTTAATAAAAGTGGTCGTGAACTTGACCCCGCGGCCCGCGTTCTTACCCCCGCTTATTACTCGCATGCTCTTCGTTCCTCGCTCGACCACCGTTCTTCCCTAGATGACTCATCGCTCGCTTTTCTCCACTGAATGCTCCTATCTGCGATTAGCGGTGCATTTCACCTCTTTCTCCTCTCTCTGACCTCTGGTTACTGTGCTCTGTAAGTAATTTTGATTGAATGTCTTTTTATGTGCGATTTATGGTAATCTTTTCGATGGAATGTTATTTTTTATGCTATTTTTCGATGGAATGGCTTTCTTTATTGGATTTTTTTTTATTTTTGGATGTAATTTGGAGAATGTGTGAAAGTGTGTGCTTTATTTGACGATAGCAAGGTATCAGATGCTCTTTTGCAGGGGGTGCTCATTCGTAGATAGCAAGTTTTCTGGTGCCCTGTATTTCATTGCCTCAAATGAAAAATATTGGATGGGATTTCATCAATTCCTTTGATATTTGTAGCATTCTTTTGGGAGGCCTTTTTGCATTTGCATCTATTCAATACTACACTGTTTTTTCTTTTATACTTCAGCTATAAATTGAAAAATGGTTGAAAGATGATGCTTCATTTGTAGATGGCAATGTTTTGGGTGGCTTGTATGTAATTACATCGAATTAAAAATGAGGTGTTGTGCGTTGTAGTTGTGGGTGTGTGTGTGGTTGCTTTATTGAGGTGTGGGATATGGGTTGTGGTTGGGTGTTGTGCGTTGTAGTTGTGGGTGTGTGTGTGGTTGCGGGTGTGTGTGTGGTGATTGTGGGTGTGTTGTGTGGGATTGTGGTTGATTGTTGTGTGTTGTGGTTGTGTGTATTGTTGTGTGATGTGGGTTGTGGTTGGGTGTTGCGTTTTGTAGTTGTGGGTATGTGTATGGTGATTATGGGTGTGCGTGTGTTGTGTTGGGCTGTGGTTTAGATGTTGTGTGTTTTGGTTGTGGGTGTGTGTGGCTATGTGTGATGCTTGTTGTGGTTGTGGGTATGTGTTTGGTGGTTGTGTGTGTGTGTGGTATGGGTATTTAGTTGAATCAAATGAAATATGGGAAGAGATTGTGGTTGTGATTCATTGAGGTGACCTGTATGTAATTGGTTCAAATGAAATATGGGAAGGTTTGTGGTTCATTGTGGTTTTGGTTGGTGGCATTTTGAAGATTTTTGACCAAATTGGCATCTTATAATTTCGTCTCGTTTAGAGCATTTGCAATAATATTTCATTTTGAACCTCTTGAGGTTCTTTTTGAGTAGCTCTTTTGGTGGTTGTGGGTGTTGGGTGGTGGATGTGCTGGGGCGGGGGCGGGGGCGGGGGCGAAACTTTTTATGGTGGGGTGGTGGCTGTGCTGGGGGTGGGGGCTAATATTTATTCTCTGGTTGATCTGAAATATTAATGTTTTTTGTTTTCTTTGTTAGTAACACATTTAATACTAAAAAAGTAGGTTCATTAGTCATGTGGCATAGGGAAGTCACACTCATATTTTGCGTCCTGTGTCTTAAGGAGGTTGAGCTAGGAAATAAACTCACCACTTATTTTAACAATGAAGGGTGACAAAATATTATGAAATTTAATGAAATGACAGGAAGGGAGTATGATAGGTTGCAATTTAGGAACAAGTCGAATCGATTGAAAAAAAACTGTAAATTATGGAAAGAACTAAAATGGGGATCCATGGGCTTGGGTTTGGATCCAATCAAACAGACTATTGATACTTCAAATAAGTGGTGGACTCGAAAATTGAAGGTAATAACCTATCCATTGAAGACTTGTTTTTCCTTACTTTATCATACTATGCTGTTTGAAGTAATAAGCTTGCCCGTATGTTGAAGATAGTGTCAGCCGACAAGAAATTCAAATTTGAATGCATGGGCGCCTGTTGCAGCCGACAATACCACTGAATTTGAACGTGACCTGGAGGAAAGTTGGACCATATGTTCAGTGGGTTTGTTGCAACGGGGGCACTCATGCATTCACCCCAAATGAGCATGGGCTTGCAAGCATACCAGATGACTTGGAAACCGAGCAGGTAAGTGGGTCCTGTGAAGGCCCTAGTCTGGACCAAAAGGAGCTGGAGTGCACATGCCAGTCAAAGTGCCCTAGGGTTGAGAAAAGGAAAAAATGAGGAGCTTTCGTCAGAAGCTAAAATAGTAAAACTAGTGGATGCGTGCACAATTTAGGCTTTTGGTTCACATGACACCTCCATTGATGACTTTCTACGAATACTGGAGACCTATCCCGAAGTTTATGGGGATATGTCGTTGTATCTAAACTTCTTGAAGTTGTTGAAGGACCCGACCCGCAGACAAATATTCATGAAGATGCTCTCTGACCGTCGGGTCGACTATTTATGTTTATTTATGGACAATTCATATTGTGGAGTTATTGTTTAGTGGCTTTGTTTTTTTTTATTTGTTTCATGGGTTATCTGATTTGGATGTTTTTCTTTCTAGCACGAACAATATATGTTGCTCTGTATTTTTTTCTTCTCATTATACTCTATCTTTAGATTTTGATGTTCTTTTAACGTTGTCTGATTCACACATATTACATGAACAAATAACTTCTTTAGCATGGACTCACAGCGAGAGAGTCTAAGAAGAAACATTGTGGCGGCAGTAGTTTTGTTGTAGAAATACTGCAACTCATACGTTGTTCGAGCTCCCTGCATGACATCCACTTATATTGGTGATAAATGGTTGGAGAGCTATTACAAGAACCTCTGTTTTATAAAGTCTGTTGTCTTATTGTTTTGACAGGTTTAGTGGGGTTGATGTACTTAGTTCTCTAAGACATCTCACTCGCACAAAACTGTAATTGATTACTGTTTTTGTCAATTTATACTTGTGTTATGACTAATGGATTGTTATCTGAATCATTCAGGAAAGATGAGCTCTAGCATTTTAAGGGCCTCCCGACAATTGTCCTGCCACCGCGGACTTTAGACTTCCCTATTGACGTCATGTCAGACACATAGCTACGGGAGACAGTTCTACAGGTGTCCGCAAAGAATCACGAAGAAGTGTGACTTCTTTCAGTGGGCAGACAGTCTAACAGATTCCACTGTATACAGTAATCGGGAAAGAATGGTATTTCTGGAGGACGATATAGCTCGTGACATACGCCTTCTACATTTTAAAACTATCATGATAACATTTTTAAATGTAATTTTAATATATATATATATTGAAGT